CTTCTTCTTCCCCTTTTATTTTCCAAGCATCAGATTCACAGGTCTATTCATTTTCCTTGGTACATAGTATTCCATCATTTCTTTGTTCCATTGTGAATGTGCCTTTCAGTTTTTTCCGGTCTGAGGCTACTATGGAGGACCCTGTCTTCACCATCATGCACATCTGCTCGTGCCCATCTGCACACATTTCTCTGGTGTGTATACAGAGCACTAAATGTGATGGCTGGGCCACAGGGTAGGTACTCGGCTTTACTAAATAAAGTCAAAGTGGCTCCCCCAGGGGACAAAATGCATGTGTCGCTTGTCCTGCACCCTCGCCAACACTTGGGATTGTGAAAGCTTTCACTTGTGTTAACCCCAGTGTGTGCTGGTGGCTCCTGCTGGGCCTTCACACACTCGCTGCACCTCATGCCTGCGCTGTGTGACAGCCTGGTGCGGCCAGGTACTGAGTGTGCCTGCTGAATACGCGGCACAGTCCCGCCTTCCAGAGCTCAGGCTGAGAGAACACAAGAGTGAAATGCAGAAGCCCCACCGTGGGGTGGACTTGGGGTCCCAGAGAGCAGGGCCTGGGGTGCAGGAAGGTCCTAGGAATGTGGGGGCAGGGGTGACCTGGAAGTGAGAGAGGCCTCACAAGACCTTCCACAGGCTGCAGCCTGCCCTGGAGCAGGGGATGTCACCAGAGACCAGGCAGCCGTAGGATCCAGAAGGGGCTCCACAGCTCCATCTCCAGGCCAGTGCAGAGCTATGGCGGGAACCAGCGCAGGCAGTGGCATGTTCAGCGTGGGTTGTGGAAAGCACCTTCTGGCTGCTGTGAGAGAAGGAATCAGAGGCGCCACTCCACATGGGTTACCCGGGTGTGTGCAGGGCCCAGGAGACACACCACCATTTCCGCAGCCCCTGCTCCACCTGGGCTGCTCCGTGCAACAAGCCATCCTCATCTGGACCTTGGCTGTGCCCGGAGAGCAGGGTGCTGCCTGCGTCCAGCTGATCTCATGTCTGGCTGCCCCTCTGCCTTTTCCCTCCAGCCATGATGGACACCTAGCTATTCTTCAAGCGTGCTAGGTGCGGCACTGGCCTAGGGCCTTTGCATCTGCTATTTCCTCTGTCCTGCGTGCTTTCTCCCAAATACAGTAATAAGTGTTCGCCAACACCTCTGTTTGCAAACAATTTGGTTCGCAAACAAAAGGGTTCAGCAAAGTGTGACTTCCATTCACAAACTTTGCATCAAGTGACAGATACCACCATGGCCATCTTCCCTACACAAACACAAACACAAACACAGTCACCTTCCCCAAAACTGCAGAACAAATTAAGTTCCTGAACCAATGTGTCACTGTATGTGCTGGATTAGTCCCTCTGTGCCTGCCTGGCAAGCACAAGGTCCTGAGTTCAATCCCTGGTACAAAAAAAAAAAAAAAAAAAAAAAGGCTTAGTCCCTCAAATGTGTGCACAAATGTCACCTTATTGGTGAAGTTGTTCTGTGATTTGTGTGTGTGTGTGTGTGTGTGTGTGTGTGTGTGTGTGTGAGAGAGAGAGAGAGAGAGAGAGAGAGAGAGAGACTGGGATCAAGCCCAGGGCCTTTTGCCAACCAGACAAGCACACTACCACTGAGCCAGACCCCAGTCCTGGTGAGACCTGTCTTCATCTCTTGATTGTCTGTGTAAACTGGTGCAGCTCCTTCCTCATGGTGTCATATGTTCCCTCCTTCTTCTCCTGAGTCCCTGTTACCACTGGACATGCTTTTTTTCCTGAAGCAACCATTTAGTGCTTTTTTCCATTAAGACAAAAGCACCTGGGACCAGAGAGATGGCTCAGTAGAATAAGCGCTTGCCTGGCAAGTGCAAGGACCTGAGTTCAATTCCTGGTTCCGGGGGCGGGGGGAGACAAAAGCACCTGAGAACTGGGATTTGGGGCTGTTTTCTTTGTTGCCAGAACCCCAAAGCCAGAACTGCATGATGTCCAGGACATCAGAGGGACAGGAGCAAAGGAATAAACACCACGAGCATCAGCAGGAAAGTTAGTACACAGGCTGATCATTTTCACAGTCTGCTCAGCTTGTGGAGCAGCTACCGCGGGCTGGGTGCTGGCCGGAGCACTTCCTGGGCGTCATTGTTTCTTTGCTTTCGGAAGGCTCCCTTGCTCCCACTCTGTAGAGGAGGAGTCAAGTCTCAGGGTCCATAGCTTGGACAAAGGCCACAGCCTTAGCCTTTATCACTGTGCTCCTTTGTATCCCTCAGTGGGCAGAGGGGAAACTGAGGCCCAGAGAACCGTGGGAATTTTCCCAAATCAATCAGCAAGTAACCCAAGGGTCAGCATGAGGACCCTGCCCTTGGCAATGCTTCTGAGTGTCTGGATAGGATGAGCCTGTCCTAGCTCCTGCCTGGCCATACTGGGAGCCCCTTGCAGATAATGCCCCTCAACCTGTGTGGGTGAACATCTGGGCCCCTCCTGCTTTCCCAGGGTCAGTGGAGGCCCGGGCCCACTGTCCCCTCCCCGCTCATGGCTGTGTCCCCTGCAGAGATGTACCAGTTCAGCATCCAGGAGTCTGCACCCATTGGCACAGCTGTGGGACGGGTGAAGGCTGAGGACTCAGATGTGGGCGAGAACACGGACATGACTTACCAGCTGAAGGATGAAAGTGGCAGCAGCGGCAGCGTGTTCAAGGTCACCACGGACAGCGACACTCAGGAGGCCATCTTAGTCCTACAGAAGGTGAGGCTGCTTCAGGATGGGGGGGGGGGTGAGGAATAAACATGTCCAGAAAGCAAGATCAGGGAGGCACTAAGACATCTAAGTCTCCCACCTCACCTACTCCAGGGATGAGCTGTCTCCAGACACTCAGGGCTGACCCAAGAATGCACTAATGACACCATTCCCCTTTTCCAAGTGAGAAAATGAAGCATGGGGGCAAGGGAATAGCTCAGCAGTCTAAACACCTGCCTGTCAAACACAAGAACCCAGGTTCCATCCCGGTACCACATGCTATGCTGGCCCCTAAACCCTGGGTGTACTGTGCTGGCCACCGAAACTGGTGGCACACACCTGTAATCCCAGCGCTGGGAAGGCTGAGACAGGAAGATCACTATGAGTCAGAGCTGTGTAGCAAAACCCTGTACCAAATAAATAAAAAATATTTTTAATTTAAAAAAATGAAACACGGAAAGGTACTAGTGACTCATTCTAGATTGCAAGGCCATTTGTCCAAGCAAAGTTTAGTTCAGATTGAAGCCAACCTCTTAAATCCTGTGATACCCTACCGCTTCTCCATTCCAGGCCTTTAACCTCATCTTTTCCTCTGAAAGAAAGGTCTTCATCCTCACATTTACAGGTGACAAAGCTGACTCAGGTAGAAGGTGAAGCCCAGGATCTCATCTATAAGGGACAGAACTGGGATTTGTACTCAGGTCTGGTGAATTCAAAGGTCTTTCCTTCCTGACAGCCTTCCTTACTCCCTGGCTGACCCAGGACCCAGAAAACTAAAACTGCCAATTCGCTCATTACTAGGAGAAAGGGATGGAGGTTAAGTAAGGAGGCAAAAGTCCACTTTTCCGGATTTGGCCAGGGGCTCAATAACTCGGCGCTGTGCAGGCCTTTAAGACTCTCCACAAAACCCTAATTTCCTGTGGGAGATCGAAATCCTCTGCATTGGCCCCCAGTTGTCATGAGCCCTTAGACACTTCCAGGGACAGGGGGTTCACTGTCTGATACTGCTCAGCTCCTTTCCTTCTCTTCAGCTGGGATCTGCCTTGTTAGGTCTGCTCTGACCAACCTGGGCTGTGCCTTTTAGGATCCAGGACTCATAGAGACGTCTGCCTTCGGCAGCTCTGCGTTCACTCTGTAAGCACACAATGGCCCACTCTTGACCTTGCCTCAGGAGTGGGAGAGTAGAGAAAGTACCCAGTTCCCTCAGTGCCTTCCTGGAGGATGATGACATCCTGGCCAGTTTTCAAGTGCTTACCACAGGCCAGGTGCTCTTCCACTGCTTCCTGCGCAGTAACCCATTCAGTCCCTCGACCACCCTCTGCGGTCCTATCACTGTCCACTTTACAGATGAGAAACTGAGGCCCTGAGAGATCCAGTAACTTGTCTGGGACCACTCATGCCCAGTAGAGTCTGTCCAGTTGTCTGGCTCCAGAACCACCCTTCTGAGCATTGGGTCACTTTCAGCCTTTTACTCTCCGCACATACCTACTATAAGATGAGCCCATTTCACAAACACAGAATTGGAGGTCCAGAGAGGCCCAGCAGCCTAGAGAGGCAGAATCTGGTCCAAAGCCTGGCTTTGGGATTCCCGCACCGAGCTCTGCTCTATCCTGGCACCTCACAGCTCCCATCCGTCCAGGTGCCAGAGGTGTCTGTAGGCATCTAGGATGGTGCAGAGAGCAGAGCCCCACCCAACTGATGTCCTGGTTCCCGAGTCTACCACTCACTCCTAGGCCGGGCCTCCACCTGCCTCACTGCACCCTCATTCCTTAGGCTACAGGATGGAGGAGGGCTGTGGGTATCCTTCTGTGCTGCTAGGAAAGGCAGGGTGGGGCTTCTGGGAAGCATGGGGGACCTTGTACACACAGGCACCATCTGTGGGTCCCTGGCCAGCATAACTCCTCTACCACGCAACCAGGCTCTGCCAGTGCAGTTCTGTGCTCTGAGCACTGTCCTTAGCCAGCCAGAGCCGATGCACAGCCAGGGAACTCATTCATCAGAGGTCACCCATCAGCGCCTCCTGATGAACAGCACAGCTCAGCGTGCCTTCAGCCGAGGCTCCAGGGAAGCTCGAGGCGGCCGAGCTCATCAGATGCAAGCGCTGCACAGGCAGGCACCACCTCCTGGGTACCGGGGACGGACTTCCACTTCCCCCAGGCCCCAGAGGCTAACTAGGATGCCAGCCACAGCTGGTCTGCAGCAGAGACAGGGTCAGAACCCAGGCTGTGTCACTGCAAGTCCAGCCCCTTTTCTGTCCCAGTGTGAGAGCCTGGGCTGGGGAGCCACGCTGTCTGGCTTTGAATCCTGCCTCTGTCAGTGATACTGGAGCAATTTATGCCTTTGCTCATGAGTAAAATGAGATAATAATACAAGCATCATAGGTGAAACTGAGTTAATAAGTTAAAGCACTAACACATAGTAAGTGCTTTGCCTTTCTTCAAAAAAATTAAAGGATGTCCTAACAGGCTATGCAGGAAGGCAGGAGGTCAGGACGTCTGGGCCTTTGTGCTGAGCTAGAGCAGCTGTTTGCTTCTAGCTGGAAAGTGTTGGTCTGACTCAGCTCTAAGGAACAGCCACACTATCCTGAGTCACCCTGGGACCTTGGGCCAGCCCCGGCCCTCCTATGTCCGGGAGGTCCTGACAGCCACTGTCCACCAAGCCCCAGCCGCTAACCAGCCTTCCATTCCTTCCCCAGCGCCTGGACTTTGAGTCTCAGCCCGTGCACACCGTGGTCCTGGAGGCCCTCAACAAGTTCGTGGACCCCCGCTTCGCAGACCTCGGCACGTTCCGCGACCAGGCGATCGTGCGCGTGTCCGTGACCGACGTGGACGAGCCCCCCGAGTTCCGGCCGCCCTCCGGCCTCCTGGAGGTGCAGGAGGACGCGCAGGTGGGCTCCCTGGTCGGCGTGGTGACGGCGCGGGACCCCGACGCCGCCAACCGGCCCGTCCGGTGAGACCCCCGCCCGGGGCCGACGCCTGCTGCCTGCTAACCTGCCGTGGACCGACGGCTGGCAGAGGGGGGAGGCGGCCGGGAGGGAGGAGGAGAGCGCCAGGGAGCCCGGACTCAGAGAGGGGACAGTCACCCAGAGGGAGCCGCGGAAGTCAGGGCAGGAGAGGGACAGAAGGCAAAGAGATCCAGGCTGCCGATAGCCCCTCCTCTCCCAGCCCCGCCCACTGGAGTGTCCTGCCGCCGCTTGACTTGTGGAGTGCAGAACCAGGCCCCTTTCTACCCAAAGGGAAAGCAAAAGCACCCGCATCTCCAGGAAGACCCCTCCCTCAGGGCACCGTGCCCTCCTCTGTCCTGCCCCTTGCCCCCTCCCCAAAGCCTGCCCACAAGCAAGATGCTTCTGCTCATCCTCCACGTGCCTCAGCCAGGCCTCCAGAGCTGCTGCTATCCTTTCAGGGGTCCTCTGGTGTCCCCCTGCTTCTGTCCTCGCTGCTCTCTAATCTCCAATCCGCAGAGGTGCTGTTTCTTTGTTAAGGGTCCTGCTGATTGAACTGGGAGCCTTTACACTGGCCAATATCCCCACCCCTTTTAATTCTTTACTTTTTAGGTTGAGACAGGGTAAATTCCCTGGGCTGGGTTTGAACTTTTAATCCTCCTGCCTCAGCCTCCCTGAGTGCTGGGCTTACAGGCATGCACCACCAAGCCTGGCTAAAGCTAACCGGGTCCTGCTGTGCTGTATACCCTCCCAAGGTCCCTGTGAGGTTCAGGTCCTCTGTGACCCCTGACCTTGCACCCCCTCTTGTGCCCTCCCCTCCCTGTCCACCACTCGCTCCTGCAAGCTCCCAAATCCACTGCATTCACCTCCCCTGAGGGCCTGCTGGCCTGAGGATGGTCTCACTCTGACACCCCCATGCTTGGTCATTTGGTCCTCTCACTGCCTCTGCTCAGAAGTTGTGCTCTCAGCGAGGCCTCCTTGGCCTCTTCTTAAAATGTGCTCCCCACCCTGCCAGCCCTGACCCCCTGCACCCCCATTTCCTCCAGGCACTTCTGTCCTGTTTTTCCATTGAGAGTGACACAGTTTGCCTCCCCACTAGGACAAAAGCTGCAGGAAGGGAGGGATGCGCCCTGATTTGTTCCCTCACTGTGTCCTGGGGCCTGGCCCAGGCGCCATACCTAGGGACACTCGTGGGAGCTCTGGTTAGTGAGTGAAATGTGCAAGTAGAGAAGCATGAGACAGAGGTGAAGAGGCCACCCAGAGGGGGGCAGGGAGAGGGAGATTGGGGCCAGCACCAGCGAGGCTGCGAGGCTGAGACTGCAGGCATGGAGGGAGGCTCGGGGGGCCTAGAGCTGCATGGATGGCCGTCAAGGTTGGAAGAAACTTCAATAGACAAGGAGGCAGGAAGGTTGCAGCAGACATTGATCCAGAGGAGAGCTCCACAGGAGGAGTGAGTGGGTTGCCAGTGTGACACAGGAGGGGGAGAGGCCCTGGGGCTCCTTGATTCTTCCTGGAACCTCTGTATGTAGTCAAGTAAAAATTCCTGAGATGATTTGGTGCTGGGCATTAAGAAGAAAGAAGGGAAACATGAATTTGAGTCTCTCTGCATTGTACAGTTCCAGGGAATAGCATTCCGGTACGGTCTGTCTGTACAGTCTTCTTAGAATTGTTGAGTGGCCACCTTGTAACAGGCTTACAGGGCAGCCCTAGATGGTAAGACACAAAGGCATTGTCTTGCTTCACTGCCCACGCTGTCAGACTGAGAAATAGGCTCAGGGATCTGGGAAGACCTCCTGGGGAAGGAAGAATTGAATGGTGGGCACCTGGCTCCAGAAGAATGGCGCTCCAGGGGGACGAACAGCTTGTACAGACGTAAGGGCTGGAGAAGCAGTCAGCATGCCTAGGAAGGCGCAGACTGTGACCAAGGAAGAGAAGCCAGAGAGGCTGAGGCGGCAGGGCCTCAGGCAGGCCGGGCTGCTCTCAGAACGCCCAAAGCCGGCAGCGCTGCTCTGCTTCTGCCCCTTCTGCCCCTCATGGTCCAAACTGCCCTACCTCTGCCTCTGTGTGCCTCTTCTCCCTTCCACCTGGCTGTCAGTCTGGTTCTAAAGTACCTGCCTTGGCCTCTGGCCAGGCCCCAGGCCTCTCTAGGGAGGACACTGTCACCCACCTTTGTCTGGAACCCGAGGCTCAGAGAAGGGCAGCTCCGGCAGGCTGCTGGACTATGGGAGCCGTGGTCAGTGCTCCAGTCTGTGGCTCTGCGTCCCTTCTGTGTCACCTCCCCTCCCTCCCTTGCTTTCCTACTGCCTCCATTCTTTTATCAGCACCAAAAGGGCCAGCTTTGAAACCAGCTCTGCCTGCTTTCATCTCCTTTGTCGGCCCCTTCCCTGGGGCTCCACAGATGCTGAGCTCTAGGAGCCTGAGACAGGTCCAATTTAACACCACAAACATTTACCCAACACCCTGCCTCTGTGTGGCCCTGAGCCAGGCCTGGGAACACTGGGATGATTTGGCCAAGGGTGGAACTGGCCTGGGGCCCCTGGACTAGGGACACAGACCTGGGAACAGGCAGGAGGACCCAAAGGGTCCCCCTGGCCCCCACCAAGAGTCCAATGAGTCCCAGCTCCAGGTCCTAAGAGGCACTGAGTAGTCCATGGAGTGGGGAAGCAAATAAGAAGACAGGAGCTCAGTCCACCTGGCGCTTTCCTTCTTCTGGAAGGAGACCATCAGCAAATGTCCAACACTGACAAGAGCTAGAAAGAAAACAGAGAACTAGGGTGACAGGGCCACTCTGGATGGAGTGGGCAGGGAGTAGGAAAGGAGCTAAGATGACATAGAGCCAGCCAGGCAGAGGTGCAGAGGAGGGCATCCCGGGTAGAGAACCAGCAAGAGCAACAGTCCTACAGCAGGCAGGACGAAAGCTGGACGTGCAGAAGTAAGTGGGGTCCTAGGAGGCATCACCTGCCACCATTCACAGGGCACAGTCAGTACCTGGGAAGGAAGTGCAAGGTGTTTACCCCTCAGGAAGGATTACAGTGAGGCTCAGAGAGGGAAAGTGACTTGTCTGTGGCCACCTGGTCCATGTGGAAGGTCTAGGATTTAACTCTTGGCTTCCTGAACCTGGCCCTCTGCCATTTCATGTGTTTGTTTTTACAAGGTCTCGCTGTCTCTTCCCCTCTTTGTTGTTGGCTCCTTGTCAGTAAGCTCTTCATTGCTGAGACAAAATATCTGTTGGAAAGCATTTAAGAGGAGAGTTTCATTTTGGTTTATGGTTCCAGAGGTTTCAGTCCATGGCCTGCCAGAGCCATGTTGGACCTTGAAGCAAAACAGAGAGGTCATGAGGGAAGGTGTGGTGAAAGAAAGCGGTTGGCCTCACAGCAGCCAGGAAGCAGAGAGAAGGAACCAGAGGAGAAGGGGTTAGGTTAACCTTCAGAGTCATCCCCAGTGATTTTTTTCTTCCAACCAGGCCTCCTCTGCTAAGAGCCTAATCAGCTCCAAACTGTAACAGTGCAGTTCCCGTATTTGTGTTCTGCCCTCCTTTGTGTTTGGCCCCAGAGGAGTCGTACATGGGCCAGGGAAGGCTGGGCCTATTTGAGCAAATCCAGTGACAGTCCTCATCTGGGCTGGGGCAGACACCTGGGGAGCTCTAAGGAGGAGCAAGAATGATGCGCTAAGGTGAGGGAGAATGAGACACAGAGTGGGGAGAGGGTAGTGCTCCTCACTGGAGTCAAGAACAGACAGACCCAGGAGTTTAAGTTCCAGAGTAGGGAGATCCATTGGATGAGCTCATGTCAGGCATGGTGGGAGGTGAGGACAGACAGGCACTTGGGGACAGACTGTGAATGTCAGGTGAGGAAATAGAACTTCATCCTACAGACCAGAGGAAGCATCAGGATGCTCCAGAAGGAAGGGGGAAAGGGCTCAGATGTCTGAAGCAGGTGACCCTGAACATGGGCTGGCCCTTTCTGTGCCAAGCCCTGTTTCTAGAAACCTTGATCTCACCCTGAGCTACATCTAAAGAGCAAAGCCAGGGGCCCGGAGATATAGCTTGGCGACATAAAGGCCTGCCTGGCAAGCACAGGATCCCGAGTTTGATCCCCATTACCGCAACAATGACAAAAAATCTGAGAAGAAACATCTTAAAGAAAAGAGTCTAAAAGATCAAAGCCAGCAGAGTCCATGCTGGACCACAGGAAGTGATCACTTCACTTCTACCCAGCATTTCACACTGGGGGGCAGCAAAGAGTGCATGGGCTTTGGAGTCAGACAAGATCCGTGTTCAGCCCAGGTATAGTATTTTCAACAAACCATACTGCGCCTCTTTAAGTGTCAGTTTCCCCATCTTTAAAATATGCCTCCTAATAGTTCCCACCTCATTTGTATATGGTAAAGATCTACTATGTACCATGATTTGTGCTCGGAAGTCCCAGGGGTGGAGGGAGAAGTCAGTGCTTAGCACACAGTAGGCCTTCAGGAGGTACATACTACAGTTTTCCTTGGTGGTCTGGACATTCATTTTTCTCCATTCTGTTACCAGTACTAACCACAAGCACCTTTACAGGCATTGTGTGCAGCCTTCTGAGTATGTGCCTTAAAGGGGGTGTGGGCAGAGTCCCAGCTAGGGTGGCGAGAGCAGAGAAAGGGGGCGGGAACAGCCAGCCTGCTTTGTATTGGGAGAGATTTCTACCCCCCTCGGCCTGGGCAAGCTGCCCCATTTGGTTCGTATTCTCTGCCTCACACAGGAAGCTGGTGCCCGCATGAGCCTGCTGGCTTTTGTGCTTGTTGTGACCATGTGTTATACATGCATATAATTATGTAGGAAAAACCCCACCCTCACACAAGCCAGGCAGCAGTGCCCACCCAGTCTCCCCACCCTGACCTTGACATCAGCAGTGTCCTGTGCTATCCGCAGTGCATAGAATGCAGCAGGGTAGACCTAGGGGACCTTTCTGCAGGGGTTGGGGGGGTCTTAGACCTGGGGCTCTAGACAGACAGGCTGGGATCTGAGATCCCAGTGGGTAGCCCTGCTACCCACTAGTCTTTTGTAACCCAGAGCAAACCACCTCACTTCCTGAGCCTCAGTTTCCTTACCTGTAAAGTGGGAAGGGTGAGACGGCCTTGGATGATGTGAGGAGCTCATGAAAGTGAAGCCCTTCCACAGAGCTCTCACAATAAAAACGGGAGCTGAGCCATGTCCTGCGGCACCCTCCTGAGCCCAAGTGGGGGCCTCATGAGGAGGCTGTGACATAGGAGTCACTGTCTTCATTTTTAAGAGGAAGACAGTGAAGAGCAGAGGGATCAGATGACTGGCCCAAGGCCACATGGCCAGGTACCAAATCTAGGCAGGTGGCATCAGAGCAGCACTTCCAGCCCCAATGCCCCAGCCTCCCTTGCATGCACACGCAAGCACACATGAGTGCTTACACACATGCACACACATGCACGGGTTGTCCTCACACCACTCCCTCCCACCCACACTGCTCAGTTCCCCTGGCTGAGGAGATGAGGAACCAGAGAGCAGAATCCAAGAAGGACCTCCCAGGCCACCGCTGAGACCCTTGGAGGAGCACCAACATCCCTACACTGTGCCACGCCCACCCACCCTCCATTTCTCCCTCCCACTACCCACGCACAGGCCACACACACTGACTGGGAGGACTTCTGCATCCCCCCCACCAGACCTTTCTGAATCGTAATTAGAATGATAATAGTTCCCATTCGGAGTGATTTTCCTGGAGCTCAGCGAGGTACCTCGTGTGCATTTCATCCTCCCAACAACACCCGGGGTAGGATTAACATCTGTTTGGCAGAAAATTAAGGCTCAAAGACGGAAATGACTGGTCTGTGGGCAACAGAGACCTGGCTTGAGACCCAGAGTGGAGCAGCTGCCTCTTGACCCTTTGCTGTTCCAATGGCAACACACTGTGTCGGATGCAACACACACACACACACACACACACACACACACACACACATATGCATGCACACACTTCTCTCACACATTCGCGTCACAGGAACACAGACAGACAACACCAACCAGACACACAAGCCATGGTGCACCTACAACCAAAGCTGGTCACACCCCACCCAACCCCCTAACTGCCAGGTCGCAGTCCTTGCCGTACTCCAAGTGCTTGCTATCTCTCCCTCCCACTCACTGGGGCTCCCTGAGCTGGAACAAAAACGCACCTGGGCTCAGCCAGCCGCAGTGACCTGCAGCCCAAGTCTTTAGCTGGTTAATGAGTCCCTGCCCACCCCCCATGGCCTTGGAAGCAGCTGCCTCCACTTAGATTCGGGCTCCTCTCTTCCCCTAGAGGGAAGGAGAGTAGCGAAGAGATGGGAGAGGAGAGGTCTGAATGGAGAGGGAAGAGCCACAGCGAGAGGCCTGAACATTTGGTCCCACCCCCTTCAGACCCAGAATCTGTGAGGACGAGGCTAGGAGCAAAGGAGACCTGAGGCTCAGCACATGGAGGCTTTGGATGACTCATCAAGCTAGAAAGATGCAAAGCCCCCAGGGTACAGATTCCACTTTTGCAAGAGTTGCTATGCAACCCCAGTAAGGGGGCACCTTTGTGTCAATAAAAAACGGCCCCCACTTTGAAAAGATCCCCCTGTGCCAAGACACATGGTTTGGCTGGCTGGACCTCACCCCATGTCCCCCTTCTGTCTGGTACCTTTATGCATGGCGCTGCCTGTACGGCTGTACTCAGCAACGGCACCCAGCTAAGCTTGGCAAGTTTTCTCGCTGAGCCTCCAGGTCTTCGCCTGCCTGGCAGAGCCCTTGCCTGTCTGTTTTGCTCCTGTATCCTGGGCCCCCGCACAGAGAGGGCTTAATTGTTGGAGAAGACACGAAGGAATGAGCAAGTGCGCAGTCGGGAAAAATATGCCCTACAAACTGTGAAGTGCGTGCTCAGGGGAAGGATGATCGTCCTGGGTCCCGACCTCCCAGGCTAGTGAGGCCTGGACCGCTCAGGAGCAGGAGGATCATACTTGGGCCTCAGCCCGTTGGAGGCCAGAAGGAGCACTGGCTGAAGGTTCAGGAGTCTGGTTCCGGGCCTCTGTGCCCGTATGTGCAGCCCTTTAGTTTGCCACGTGACTCCCTCCCCCACAACAGTGAATAGGAAAAGAATAGAGACTGTCATCAGGAGAAGGTGGAGGCTGAGCGGGTTGAGGGACTTAGCCAAGGTCTCAGCCCCAGCGGACTGCTTTCAGATCTGTGCAGCCCCACAGGAATCATTATCGCCATTGAAGAGATGGAGAAACTGAGGCCCAGAGAGTTTTGGGCACAAGGCCAAGGTCTTCTGAAGGTCACCTCAAAGCTGTGGACGCCTAGCAAGCATTATCTCTGGTGTCCTGCCTGCCGGGGCCTCAGTTTATCGCTCTGGGATTTGGAGGAAGGGCTCCTTTCCTCCTCCCTGGGGGAGGGGCGGTGGCTCGGACTGATCCCTCCCCACTGGGCTGCTTTGTCCTGGCTGCACAATGAGCCTCTGCCTGGCATTGGAGGCCTTTGTGTGCCCGGAGCCAGCTCTGCCCCCGCCCGTGTTATCAGCACGGGGAAGCAGCGGCCTGCGCTGGCGGGGCCTCTCTGGGCCGCTGCCGCCCGAGACATGTGTTGGACACGGGCCTTTCAGGCCTGGAGCCGCTGCACAAAGACCCGGGAAGAAGGCGGAACAAAGGGCTTTTTCACGCGGCAACTGAAAAGCTGCAGATTAGCTTGTACGTGCTGTGTACTTCTCAGGCTCGCAGCCGGGAAGACTTGCCGGCAAAGACCAGACTCCTCCCCTTGGTATACCAGGCCCTAGCCTGCTCAGGCTCCACCATAACCCCAATAAGCCTCCTGTAGCCCACAGCTGCCCCTCCCTCCTGTTGAAAATTCATGTTAGCTCCCCGGGCCACACTAGACTCAATTCTGTACCTGTAAGCTTTGGTGCAGCTTGAATTTCTGGGTCTAACTACTCTGCACCATAGCCATCTCCTGCTTAAGCCTCAAGCCCCTCTGCCCCCTCCCCTGAATGGTGCCCCTAGTTCTCTCCCAGGGGCCAAGTCCAAATCCAAGGTCATCTTTTATTGAAACATAAAAATGTTACATCTATTACCAGTGTCACAAACGGTCCCTATGACAATGGCGGATTACAGGTTATCACTGGTACTGTTGTGAAGATGAGGAACCTGAGGCTCGGAAATGCTGAGAGTTGCCCAAGGACCCACAGCAAGCACTGGTGTCCCTGAGATACAAGCCCAGATGGCTTCGCACTCTTCCCTGCTGGGTGGGGTTTCCCTGTCCCTTGTGAGTCCAGTGTAGGTGGTCCCTCTCTTGGAGTGACACAGGCTCCCTCTGGTGCTAGAACACCTTCAATCACCTTGCACTGCACCCCACAGGTATGCCATTGACCGTGACTCGGATTTGGAGCAGATCTTCGACATTGATGCGAATACGGGTGCCATCATAACTGGCAAGGGGTTGGACCGCGAGACAGCTGGCTGGCACAACATCACTGTGCTGGCCATGGAAGCAGGTGAGCTTGCTGGTGCCCCTGGGCAAATATGGGAGGAGCAAAGCTGAGGGGGCGGGGTGAGGGATGGAACCCAATGCCTAGGTGGGAATAAGGTGGAACTGTCAATCAAGGCAGAGGGGTGGGTCAAAGAGCCCACTTGTGTAGAGGTGGGGGACCAGCTGACTTTCAGGATTCCAGAAGAGTCCCAAGCCAAGCCAAGCCAAAGGGATACGGCTCGTTTTGAGATGAGCCATCTTCCCTCACATATTGGGCACCTACTACATGCCAAGCTCTGTTCTAGGACCTAGGAATACAGCCTTGACCAAGCTAGGAAGGTGTCTGTCCTCACAGGGAGGAGCTAGGTCAGCAACAGAAAGGACAGGTATGATGTGTTGATGATGTGAAGTACAAAGGATTGAGGGGGAAAAAAGCAGAGTAAAGGGATGGGAAGGAAAAGGGGTGTTGCTTCTCTTAGAATAAGACTATCCTGGAAGAAGACATTTTAACAAAGACCTCAGTAAAGTAAGCATGTCATGTCAACTTCTGGGGGAACAGTAGTCTGGGTAGAGGGAAAAGCCAGGGCAAAGGCCCTGTGGTGGTGGCTTCTCACATGTTAGAGGAAGAGCAAGGGGAATAGCCTGGCTGCTGAGGGGCAGAATACTAGATCACTGTGAGGTCTATGAACCCTTAAGTGAGGTGGGGGTCGCAGAAAGGGCCATTGTCTTCGAGCACCTCTGACTGCCATTGTGAAGGTGGACTGAGAGCTGACTGGGAAGGGCTCAGCTAGAAGCAAAATGGTGTAGTGCTGGGGAGGTGGGCTGTTGGTCCACCCAAGAGCAGTAGCAGCAGTGGTGAGAAATGGCCAGCTTTGGGGTCCAGGCTGGAGGTTGAGCCAGTAGGTCGTGCCCAGGGAGACATGTGAGGCTGGCAAGGGATCAAGGGTAACTCCAAGTTGCTTGGCCTGAGTTTCAAGTGAGTCACAGACAGTTTGGTACATCTGGGAGAAGTTTCTAGAAGAGTCTTGTGTGTGTGTGCACATCACAGGCAGCTTAGCATCATGAGGACCACCAGGGTGTGTATGTGGGGAGGGTAGGACATGGAGTCCAGCTAAGAGCAGCTGTGGAGATATGGAACCTGGCTGAGCACCGGGGAGGGCAAGGGGAGTGTGCAGCACCAGCCTCTGCTTCCACCTGCTCTCCAAGTGTGCACACAGACACACACACATATACACACACACTCACAAATGTGGTTTCCCAGGATCTCAGGAGCCAACAGAGCCACCATGAATCAGCCTCAACCCTGGAAGCACTGCTGATCTCTGAGCTGCAGCCCATGGTCAGGGCTCCAGCCAGCCCCTACCTGGCCAGCCATGGCTCCCTTGCACCCAGAGTCCCTTCCTGCTTCCTTCCTCCCCATCTCCCTCCCTCCGTCCCACTTCCAGGCCACATGTTCCTTTCCGGGCAGGCAAGGAAGTCCCTAGGCTGAAGTTCCCTTCCTCTCTTTCAACTGCAATTTAAAAGGAAGCACAAAGCCAGCTCTACTCTCGGTGCCTGCTGCTCCCAGCCTTTGAATCCACTCCTCCTCCACTTGAAAGACAGGGAACAAAGGTGGTTGCAGAGGAAGTAGGGCCGGACTTGGGAAGGGAGCTCCCTCTCCATCCCTGTCTCTCCCTCCCAAACCTGCTCCCTGGGGAGCAGTGAAGCTGAGGGCCGCAGGCAGGGCCAGGGTCGTAGCCCAGCTGCTGGGCAGAGCCCTCCTCCTCCTTCCACAGAGACGTACCCCCACCTGCCTGTCACTACCCTTCCCAGGTTAGGCATTCTGCTTCTACTCAGAGGATCTCAGAAAGCAGCTAGCGAAGCATACAAGTCCCACAGAAGACGGCATCGGGACACGCCTCCACAAATAATGACACTTCAATACATATTCTGGGCTTGATGCTTTCTGATATATCTTTCTATAGAATCTTGAACCCTCATCGCTACCGTGATCAGTACCCATTTTACTGATGGGGAAACTGAACCTCAGAGAGTTAGGAAATCTTGCCCAAGGATGTGCAGCAGCAGCACTGGGCTGGATTAGAGACCTCCCCTGAGTTGCAACCCACCACCCCTGCCCACCTCTCACCCAGGACACTGACTGATGGGAGAGAAATGGGTCTATTTCACAGTGCAGATGGGCAGGTTAACCCAACAACACATGGAGAAAATTGTGCCTAGGGGACGGGACCTAGTGTGTGTTCAACCAATGCTTATCAGGTGGTCTTGACTGCATATGTCTTAAGCAGCGACTCTGGGCCAGGCCCTGTACAGTGGTGAGCCCAAGTACAGGGCTGCTCTGACTGCCCCCAAATTGCGTATGAGGAAACTGATGGTGGCAGAGAGGACATCATTTGCCTTGAGTCCCCTCCCCACTCACCTAATGCCAGAGCCCAGCTCCCCCAACCACTGACCTTCCAATCATATTTCCTTGGTGCTGTCACAGATCAAGAGCTATGACAATGACCCATCCACTCCCCCTTCTGCCACCTCTGTGAGATGACAACATTGTCTATCCCCATTTTACAGATTAGAAAAGAGACTCAGGCAGGGACGGCAATAATACCTAGACCCCAGATCCAGTCTTTGCAGGCCTGGGGCTCTGCCACAACCTCCTCTCCTAGCCAAACAGGCCCCAAATGCAATGCCAAGGATCTGCCCGCCTAACCCTGTATCCTCCTCAGAGTCATCCACCCAGCTGTCTCTCTGAAACAGAGAGGATTCATGGGGGGATTATGGCTGCCCCCCCCCCGTCCCCCTGGTGTAACAAACATGGGGTGGCAAGAATCAGAGGGGAAATATTTATAAACAGTGGCAGAGCTTTGTGAGCACCTCAGAGAATGTTGCCCTCCGCCGGAGCCGCTGCCTGTCACAGCGGATTACCTCAAAGACTCCAGACCCACTTAGTATGCCGGCTCCCCTCTCCCCAAACTTCTGAGTCATCCATTCTGCCGTGCAGGCGCTCCTTCCACTGACATTATCTTTAACGTTTTGTAATCATGAAATATTAATGACCAATATTGAATTTAAAGTACAATTTGTGTCTGAATCCTTTGGTGGAAAGGGCAGCTACAAAGGGACAATCTTCAAAGAGACAGGTAGGGGGTCTGGGGCATGTGTTCTTGGGCCGGGGTCCCCAGGGGCTGCAGCCAGCCACCTCCTCGGGTTTCATCAGGCCTGCAGCTGTTTTACAGGAGTGATGTCTAGCTGGCCAGGATGGTAGGGGTTAACCAGGCTAGTTAGAAACTTCCCGTCTGGGTCACCGATGGCCAAGTTACATCTCCAGCTCCCTGCATTTTCCTGCACCACTCTAAGTGCACTTTGCAATTTACAGATGCATTTGCACGAGTGTTGAGTGATCCCTTCTCCCCAGCGGACTGCACCTGCCAGGGTCCTCTCTATATCTGTGGCGTCCGCACAGCCCGGGCACACCCCAGGCAGAATAAATACTTACTAAGTGGACAAAAGCAGAACAGGAATGCACACCCACCCCCTCAGGAAGGGGAGGCTGGGTGACAGAGAACCAGATGTGGTCACTCAGTTCCCAGCTCTGTGGCCTTGGGCAGTTATCCCTCCTCACTTGTGGCCTCTGATTTCTCCTCTGTAAAATGGCAACCATGATGCCTACCTTTCTGGATGCTACAGATTAATGACAGTAGCAGCTCCTGTTCATTTACAGTGGACCATATGCCAGCCATTGTCCTGGCTGCCCTGGAGATTAGAAATTACAACCGGCAAGTGCCTAGCACAGTGCTGGCCTGACATAGCAGAGAGGGAGCTGGGGGAGGGCGGTCCAGAGATGACGGACTCTGGTCCCGCTGTACCTTGTTTCTCAGCTGGGGAGAATGAAGCCGAGGACAGTGGCAGCATGCCTCAGTTTGCAAGTGAGGCTGTGTGCACTTTGCCAATGAGGCTGTGAGCACTTTCCAACCAGTGCTCCTGGGAGGACCACAGAGATCGCTGCAGGGGCTGGAAGGAGGAACAGAGAGGGGAGTGGGGGTTCGGGGCAGAATTTGATGAGCAGAGTGCTTGGTTTCCTCCAGGGTCTCCTCCCCACCCCCAGGTCCCTTCTCAGGCACTGGCCCCTTGTTATGCACCTGAGGCTGGCACTGAGATCTAGATCTAGTGACAATAGGCTTGACCACTATCAAGGGGCTTACAGCTAGAGGGTTCCACAGTCAGCAGCAACTCAGAGCCAGTTGGGAGACAGGAGGGAGCACCCAAGAAGGAATGAGGGCCTTGCTCACTCATCCCATGAGGACAGAGAAAGGTCTAAAGCCTGAGAAAGACATTGGGGCAGACAGGGGAGTTCAGGTGCCCCTTGGCCAGTGTACCAAGGTCTGGAAACTGGATGGTCTCTGCCCATTCTAGAGACAGAGGGACAGGTGTGGCTGGAGTTGGCGGGCTACAGCGAGGGTGAGGGGCTCACTGCCTTGTACAAGAGCCTCATGGGCCCCCTGGATCTACAGCAGAACACATACTCATACGTGGGTCCCCTGGTTCCCTCAGGTTCTAGGGCAGAGAGGGCTGGAGGAGCAGGACAGACAAGAAGAGAAGTCAGGGATTCCTGTACTGTGGTAAGAGAGAGCCCTCAGGAGGGGCCAGATGGGAAGAGGCAGATGGCAGCTCCACACATGAAAGACTGCCTTTTGTGAGGTAGTGAGCTTCCTGTCAACAGAGGCATGTAAATCAGATGTGAACTCCTCTTGGACTGAGCAACACCTGGGATCCTGTGCCGAGGACAAAGTTAATTCCAAGAACAAAGTTTTTGTGTTGCCCATGAAGTCCCAGTGGCACAGCTTGAACATCAGGACCCCACTAATCCTCCAGAAAGAAAACTTTCTCCCATCCCTCTTCTTCCCAGTTTTGGGGGTACAGAAGTGTCAGAGCCCCAACTACTTCAGCCAGAAGTCTCCCCCAGCCCTTAGAGGAATGAACTTCCCCAACAAGGTCAAAGGCTCCCATTTCCACGTGGAAGTCAAACCA